GATGTTGTCTTATTAATATTTATGTGATGTACTTATGTGGGTAAATGATTTCTATTTATACTTGAAGTAAAAAAATACGGATTTATTCCTTATGAATTATACTTTGTTTTCAGGTTTTTACTGTGGAAAGCTAATGTCAGTTTCAAGAAATTGAATTCATCAAGTGCAGAATACTGTAATAAGATGTGTGTATAGTGTAGAAAAATGTCCTTCAACCTTCAACATTCAGTTTTTTATTTGATCATAAAAAATATGTACCTATAGTTAGAAAAATGAATATTTCTGAATGAAATTCGAAATATTCATCTCTCCCAAAGTTCCTATACAGTAGGGTCCGCGTGTGGCTTTGTCCACGGGATGGAGCTGTAACTAGTGAAAAAATATTTGTCTAGTAAAAGAACTTGACTAGCTGCCACAAATAAAAATATTATATTTTCTACAACGCTTGGTGTTGTAGAAAAGATCAGTATCATACTTGTCGAAAGAAAACTCGGGATTCTTGCAAAATTCTTTTCCACATATAATTTTCACCATTATTGCTATTTTCATCTTGGAATCTTGGAATATTCTTTTACAGTGAAGGGTTTTTTGTGAATATAATCATTATGGTATCACCTATTGGAACTTATAATATATCTCTCAGTTTTATAGAATTTTTCCTTTATTTGTGTTGTTATTTGTGTTGTTAAGATTACAAATTTGTCTAGGCCGACCAACTTAATCTTGAGTGCAGATGAAATCGAAAATTCCATGAAGTTCTGGATCAGAAAGTGTCAGGAAGAAACGTTTGGAGAAGAAATTTTCATTTTGAAAATGAATCTATTTCTACCAAAGTCTAGTCGCTTATATAAATTATCTGCCTTCTTGGATGAATATTTTATATTACGTCAAAGCTTAGACCAGAAAAAGATTTCAGAAGAAGTCGTACCTAAAAATATAATTTGGAAATTTAACCCGCCCGGAGCTCCACACATGGGTGGAATCTGGGAAATGATGATAAAATCTATTAAAACAGCTCTGAAGATCAGTTTGAAGTCCATCAATCCAAAAGAAGAGGTTTTGGTAACCTTGAGGGGCATAATTGAATATATTATTAATTCAAGGCCCTTGACACACATATCAGTCGATCCAAATGAGCCAGAAGCTATCACTCCGAACTCCGAACCATTTTCTGCTACTGCGACCAGGCGATGTCAGATCATTCGGCAATGTGGAGCTTTCTAGCAGAAAGCAATGGAGAATTGCTCATGCATTGGCAGATACGTACTGGAAACGATGGGTAATTGAATATAGACCAACACTTCTTCAGAGACCAAAATGGCATGACAAAACTAATTCTATTAGAATTATCCACATAGTTTTGATTGTGGACGAAAAGGCATCTAGAAATCAGTGGATCATAGGAAAAATAGAAGAAACGTTTCCCGGTAAAGACGGAGTCATCAGAGTTGTTCGAATTAGGAATAAACATGGAACATATATGAGAACTGTCACCAAAGTGTGTATTCTTCTAGTCAGGAGTTGATATACTCACCTAGCAAAGTCTGCTTGAGGGTGGAGAATGTTATTTATTTTATTTGTATTTTCTTATAACAGTTAATTGTTCATCACTATGTATAAGTTGTTTGATAAATATCATAGGTTCTTAGAATTAGACAGATGAAAATGGAAAAAATAATAAATGTCAAAAAAAGTCAAAATTAAATTCAAAATAGTTTCAATTCGTTTTTGATTTGCCTAAGTATTTCACAACGACAATGAACACATTGTTCAGTTAGGATATTCTCATTTAGTTTTTGGTTTTACTAGTAGAAAGGTACCAAGTCAAAAATTTTGAAAATGGTCAATACTCGTTTATTGGAAGAAAAAATTGATATTGTTATTTACGGTGCGACGCGTAACTTTCACGAGACCGAAAGGATTTTCAATGAACGTTTTCCGAATCGTCCTATCTGTAAAAAATATTTGAGGGAACTTGTATCCAAATTCACAACTACCGGTAATATACATAACAAAAAGCCCCCAGGTCATCCGTCCATTCCGGAAGAACATCAAGTGCAAATAATTGGTGAGATGGTAGTAAATCCTGAACAGTCTACCTATTCCGTCGCGAATGTTTGTGAGGTGTCTCCTTCTACTGTGTGGAGACTTTTGAAGAGGAATAGGTATCATCCATACCAAATTGAAATGGTACACCAATTAACTGAAGATAACCCTGATCGAAGAACTGAATTCTGCGAAATCATGACGGAAACCATTGCAAGGCATCCTACCCATCTTCACAATATTTGTTTTTGTAATGAATGTACATTTTTTTAAACGACAATGTTCACAGACAAAATTGCCGTTATTGGAGTGACACCAACCCTCATGTTTTCCGGAAAACACATACCCAATATCCAGAAAAAATTAACGTTTGGGAAGGGATATTAGAAAACCATATTGTAAGACCTCTATTCATTGATCAAAATTTAACAGGGAAACTGTATTTGAATATGCTGGAAACTACTGTTGACCTTCTCATCTCTGAAATCGTCGAAGGGACTAGTGAATTCGATATGGATATTGTATTCCAACAAGATGGAGCACCACCACACTACTCCAGAGAAGTAAGAAACTATTTGGATACTACTTTTCCCGGTTGTTGGATTGGCCGTCGGGATCCTACAGAATGACCAGACCACTCGCCAGATTTGACACCTTTGGGATTTTTTATAGGGTTATTTGAAAAAAAAGGTGAAAGAAACTGAACCTGCTTGAATATTGGATACACAGCAGAGAATAATAAATATTTGTAGAGATATTGACGTTACTGTGTTCGAAAATGTTCAGCGTGAAATATCCGATAGGCTGTTCATATGTCTAGAAGTTCAAGGCAATCATTTCGAGCATCTTCTGAACTGACCTCAAGCTTATTACCTTATATTATGTAGTTAAATGTCAATGTATTTTTTATTTAAAGTACCGTCATTTCGTAGTGGTTAAAGATATTGACATTATAGTGAAGTGTTGTGAAGCATTTGTCATGAGCTTCAAAAGGATGTGCCAAGACCCCTTTTCTATTTAAATTTTTTCCCAGATTGCGCCCAGTCGCCATCTTGAAAGTTTCATCTGTCAATTTACTTCAAAATAAAGTATTCATGCATTAATTTCATTATCCCAAATTTAAATTTTTTGAGTTGCCCGTTCATAAAATAAAAGGGGGGACATTAAAGAAATGCACTGTTTTACCGTCCTAATTGAAATGAATAAATATAGTTGAAAAATACAAAAACACGATTTTAAATAACATCGAACTGAAAAGGTAAAAATGATTTCTTTCACATAAGCTTAAAACAATAACGATCGTAAAATACTGGTATTATTGTGAAAAAAGCGTTGCGCTAGATATACAAAAAATAAGGCACACAGCGCCCACGCTTTTTTCATAATAATACTAGTATTTCTCGATCGTTATAGTTTTAAGCTTATTCTGAAAAAATTATTTGTATCTTTTTAGTTCGATGCTCTTCAAAAGCGTGTTTTTCAGTTTTTTTAACTATATTTATTTTTTACTTTTCACTTTTATATGCTATAAAAGCGTGTTTTTTAGTTTCTCAAACTATACAAGGTGTAACAAAATAATTGTAGAACATTCAAAGAGGTGATTCCTCGTCGAAAAAAAGATAGGATCTTATATAAAATTTCGTTGGAGTATCCCTTGTTGAGATACAGCCCCTTAAAGCGGGTACATAAAATTTGTAAAACAATTTTTTTCATAAGCACTAAAGAAGTTGCAATATTGAAATTAACCTGACGTTTTGTACTACCAAAAAGACACTTAGCCAGAAATTTATTTGGTTTACCCCATGGTTGTAAGAAGTGGAAAACGCAACCCCTAAACTTTATTTCCAATGTAACTTTTTGTCTTATATTGTTTACCAAATGAATATTACTGGAGTTTTTCCCAACACCAAATCGTTATTTTTAACACCTCGACACGTGTTTCGATCACCAAGTGATCACTTCATATCTAAATATTTCATCTGTAGTACAAAATTTCGCTAACACTTATAATTCTCAAAATCCATTTTTTATTCTGATTTTCTTTTGAACAACCTATCAAGGAGATTACGTACAGTACCATCTGCCCGCGAATAGATCAACAAATATCAAGGCGGTTCCGTACAGCGCCATCTGCCCGCGAATAGATCAAAAAATATCAAGGAGGTTACGTACAACGCCATCTGCCCGCGAATAGATCAAGCAATAATAATGTCGATAATTCTGTCAATACAGATCCCGAACTTGGGAGTTACAAGCAAGCAAACATACATACATATATACATACAGGTGAAGCTAATATAAAGCGTGTAATGTAAAAATACATTTACACTTCTAGGAGATAATAATATTTAATTTCCTCATACTGCCTCTGGATTAATAACATTACCAGAAAATAATTTACATTAATCTGTGAAAATAACAGATATTGTATCATAATAATCACATTCACTTTTCTTTGCTAAGTATCATGAAACGAAAAAAATACCAATATTATTAAAGCATTTCTATGTGCAGCAGCGTATTCAATGTATGTGGTGAGTGGTAGAACTCTAAACGAACGTCGCGTCGATATGGTTGTGCACAGTTTTCTAAATTAAGCGGCGTAATGAAAAACTTCGACAACGGACATCAAAGGTGCCAATTCCAAGTGGCCATAAACTGTATCAGTATAGCCGTAAAAAACTTATTTCAATTGAATGAAATGTTATGTGGGTGAGTATTATGAAACAATTTTGAAATTTGAAAGAAAATGTGGATATCATAACGAGTGAAGTCAGATGTCCGAAAAAATGTAATGGAAAAAAGCAGTCAGAAAGACCGTGAGTGGTCATGAACATGTAAATTGAACAAAATATTTGGGAAGACATGAAAAATTCAATGATATGAATGAACATATAAACTTCAAAATCCATATACCTTTTACCTCCCATTGAAACTATGAAAACCAAAATTACCTGTTTGTCTATGATGTAAGAAGCTGGTATCACAAATACGGGATAAACGGCCATATACAGAATCGATATTAAATCAACCTCTATACTGCTAACATTGTAATATTCCATGACGAGATTTGTTATACTGGAGTAACAAATCCACTGCATAGAACTCAAGGCCGAATAATTTATATAAATGAAAAGAATGAACCATCTTCTCTTGAATGTCTTTATGTTTTGTTGGATATCTCTGCTGAGGAGTTTCTTTCCAGATTCTAGTTCTGTTTCCATAACCTTTCTCAAACTCCTTGAATGATTAAATCAAATGGAAATTCACACACTCGATAAAGTTGAATTGTTCAAAGCGTATTTATATTTTATATCTTCAATATTATCTACTTCAGATATATTTGCAGACAGTATTTAACACCTACTTATGTAAAACCTGTCACAATACCTGGTGTTCCATTGAAGTTGGAATAGTGGCGCGTTTGTTGATTAGTTATAAAAGTGATATATGAAAGGCATAGGTCACTGATCTTATCACAACAAGAGACATATCTGCTAATTTGAATTTGAAAGATTCCTCCAATTGTTGATTCCGGGCATTGTGTGTTCAAATCTTTATGATGAGTAGAATATGGAACGAAAAGAAATAAACATTCGTTCTCTTGATGTGCATTTCGCTAATTAGGTTCGATGATTGAGCCATCTCCTGATGAATATTAGATTTTCGTCATTACTTGGCAGTCAACTATACGCCAATCGGTCTCTCATAAATTCTCTCTTTTTTTGTCAACACTCTTTTTTAACAAAATGCTAAACGGCAAATGTCGATAAGAATTGTTGATCGGTCATTCGTTTCAAATCTGTTTTTACTCCTGAAGGCCAATGTTCGTGATACCCACGGCTTAATGAAGCTGAGGCAGTTCATACATTCTACTATAAATGCAACATGTTGATGTATATTTTCCAAAAAAATATTTAGGTAATGGAAATGATTTTTATTTGAATACGGGACCCCTCGAGCAATCCGGAGCCCGGAGATGCAACCCTGATAAGCCTGAATTTCACTAGTTCGGACTTCCATTGTCTAATATTATAGAATATGATTTGAAATCTCCGAAAGAATGAATAAAATTTGAATATAATAAAAAATTATCACGAGGGTGGTCTCAGAAGTACCTAATCGGCCTAACCTAGAGATGGCGGTAGTCGTTCGTGAAATATCACTGTATTAGATTATAAAGTATACAATCTATATAGAAAATGTTTGAAGATGCTGCATTGTTTAGTATTTGTTTGACAGCCATCAATAACGAACGTTTTCAGTGAATTTGTGAAAATGGAGAAAATTGCCATCATTATGGTAATATGTTAAAGTCTATTTTTTCGCTCACCAGCTATGTGATACATTCGAAAGGCCTGAGCCCAACCAATATAAAAACCGAAGTAGATTCTATTCTGGGTGAGTCTCTTCCTTCGTTCACAACAAATATTTGGTAGCACAGTTTGAAGGAGACCTTATGAGTTGCCAAGATGAGCATCGCAGTAGTCGACCAAATAAGGTGACAACTCCAGGAACGGTAAAGAAAATCCACAAAGCGGTACTGAATGATCTTCCACTGAATGTGCGCGAGCTAACAGACTCAGTAGACATTTCAGAAAGTGCAGTATATCATATATATTATCTGAAAATTCGGACATGAGAACGTTGTGTGCAACGTTTGCTCACACTCAAGCAGAAACAGTGTCGTGAAGATGTTTCAATTGAGTGTTTAGCGAATTTTCACAGCTACAAAGCAGAATTCTTGCGCCGTTTCATAACTATGGATGAAACGTGGGTCAATCACTTCACACCCTAGACAAAAGAACAATCAAAACAACGGCTTCAAAGAAGGCCAATACCGTTTTATTTGCAGGGAAGATCATGGCATTTGGGATGCGCGTAGAATAATTTTCATTGCCTAAGGTAACGCTATGAACGGCGAGTATTATGCGAACTTATTGCAACGTTTTAGTAAACGAATCAATCAAAAACGGTAGTATTTTGCTTGGAAAAAAGTGTTGTTTTATCAAGACAATCCACCAGCTCGCAAATCCATTATCGCAATGACCAAAATTAACGAAGTATTAAAAGTTGAATTGCAATCTCATGCACCTTATTCCCCAGATTTAACCCCTTCGGATTATTTTCTGTCCCCAAACTTGAAAAACTGGCTCAGTAGTCAAAGATTTTCCAACGATAAAGAAGTAATGTCAGCAGTTGATGGCTACTTAGTGGAACAAGACAGTTCTTATTATAAAAACGGTATCGAAATTATTTAAAATTGCTGAGAAAAGTGTAGAGAGCTGTACAAAGCTGTATAGACTGTATACAATGTTGGAAAATATATTTTTTTAAACTTGTTGTGTTTTCTTTGTTGGGTCGGGTATTTCTGGTACCACCCGTGAAATTTTATTGTAATTCCGTTTCACGGTTTAGTGCTTGATGAACACAATTGTTATTTTATTTTTAGCCATTCTTTTCAATTTTCAATTCCATTTGTTCTTCCAGAGATTTCAAATCATATTATATCATATTATACAATGAAAGACTGAACTGGTAAAATTCACCATGAAACATTGTCAACCAATTTCAAACAAACCTTGACAACCCTCTCTATCAATTCGCTACTGGTACTGATGAAATGTTGAAAAACTTACTCGAAACAAATGATGACAATCCAAAAGTAACAAATACTGTAAACTGTGTAGAACTTGACCGATGTTTTTGATACATTTCTTTATTCGTTTATAAAAATTGAAATGTACTATCATAAATACGATAATCAATTCAGAGTAAGAAATTTCAAATTTGAAATTAGCGACTAGAAATTATCGATTTACGTAGAATTCGAATTGCTGTACATTATATTCAAATCGAAAAACTGTCTTGAAACGTTTATTTCACGTGGACACCTTCCTTCAAAAGAATGAGTTTTTAAAAACCGTAGTTCGTATTGTGTTGGGTTGAACTCCGAAACAATGAGTAACTGTTTTTTGCCACATACTTCTGACGAATCACTCTGTGTGGAATCAAGCAGTCTCAGTCAGCGAAGACTTTCCCAAAACCCGAAAATAGACGAAAAAAATATACATGCAACACTCATACCATTGTTTGATAATACACTTGAAGTCAATATAGACGATTCCGATATCAGAAACATACATAGGATAGGAAAATCGCAAAAAAATTCGAAAAGGCCTATTGTTGAATTTTTGACAAATAAATTAAAAATAGAAATACTTAATAGGGCAACGGAATCGAAGGGAAGTGGCATATTTATATCCCCTGATAGAAGACTATCAGAAAAATTAATTTCTGCTGTCACAGTTGAAAGTAAACCTTGAACAGATTTGGATAAGCTAGAAAATTGTCAAACATAATTTTGCGATAGGTGTTGCCCACAAGCCCACCAATCATTCACCATGTGATTTTATAAACAGGCTGGAAAATGAAATATCAAATCTCATACCCAAATTTGATGAAGTTTTCGTTTTAGGATATTTTAATATCGACCAGTATTTACAATAAAATGAATGACATGCTTAATGGATAAGGGCTTTCACGACTTATCCAGTCTCCTTCCAGAATAACTATTGCATCAAGTTCACTTTTAGATCTCATTATATCTTCAATGTTGGTCTGGTTAATCATATCTCAGATCATGAATTCACTTAAGTAGAATTGAATGTAATCAGTGAATCAAAACATCCTGTTTACACATCTTTAAAACATTTTAGAAATTTCAATCATAATAAATTCTATTTTGATTTTATCTTGATAGATTTTCAAGTGATTTTTGTAATGAATCATTTGAATTTCATAAATGACAACATTCTGTATCTCTAAGACGAATACGAATAATAAAACCTTACACATTTTGGATTACAGAAAACATTAAGTTAATCATTTCGTTGAGAGATACTGCTCATAAAAAATAGAAAAAGAGTAAAATTGAGTCTCGTTATAACTATTACAAAATGCTGAGAAATTTTACCACTTTGTCATGCCGAAATGAAAGAAAAGCGTATTATCAATATATTTTTCTTAGAATCGGTGTGAATGAAACTTGAAAAAATTTGAATCATCTCAATGTACGATAACAAAAGCCAAAACTTCCCGGGAATTTCTCAGACGTGAATGAAATCAATAATTACTTTATGAAAGGGAATACGAAAGATAGATGTGATCTGGATGCAATTGAATTTCATAGTAGAAATATTATAGGACCCTGGAAAACATTTTTTTTTCATGAAGTTTCAGAACAATGTATTCAAAAATCATTATATAACCTAAAATTAAAATGCACAGGAATCAGATGTAATTAATTTGAAATTGATGCTTATGTGTTGTCCGTACGCCCTACCTTATATCACACACATTATACATTTTTGCATTTGAAACAGTGTTTTTCTAGAGCTCTTGTCCAACCATTGCCAAAAAAATACGGTTGAAGAGTTGAAAGATCATCGTCCCGTAAGTATCCTTCCAACACTTTCAAAACAACTTGAAAGACAAATTGATTCACAATTAACGGATTATGTAATGATATTCAATTTACTTCCTGAGGTACAATCTGGATTCAGAAAATATCATAGTTGTGAAGATACTTTACTACACATAACAGCTGACATTTTGAAAGAAATTGACAGAAAAAAGGCAACGGTACTAATATTGTTAGATTAGTCCAAAGCATTTGACACCTTGAATCACATATTGTTAACAAAACTAGAGTACATTGGTCTGTCCGAAGCATTATCTTTTTTCCAAAGTTATCTTTATTATAGGACTCAAAGTGTCAGAATCAATGAAAAATATATCGAATCCTCGTCAAATATTCAGTGGTGTTCCTCAGGGATCAATATTAGGTCCATTATTATTTGCCCTTTATACTTTTGACTTTCAAAAAACAATAAACCACTGTAAGATTGATTTTCATGTTGATGATACTCAGTTGCATTATTCTTTTCACCCACAAGATATTGATACGGTTCTAAATAACATCAAGATATTTCTGATCTTATCAGCCAATCTGAAGTTCACTGTTTAAATGTTCTTTTAGTTCCTAAAAGTCAGGGAAACATTTTGAAAGATGATGTTAGAATATTAGAAGAAAACGAGGAAATGATACTCCAAAAGTCTACTAGAAATATCGGTGTTGTTATGGATGATAAATTGCGATACAAGGAACACATTTGCCATATTAGATGATCGTGCTTTATGAATAAAAAAAATATTCGATTGCAGACAGTACTTGAATGAAAAAAGTTAAATCTATACTTTGTGAGGCTTTAGTGTTATCT